AGAGTGCATAGACTGACTTGTGCAATAGTGCGGCAAGTCCAGACACAAATGGACTGATTGTTGGTCCAAGGAACCTACTGTTGTCCGAGTGGCAGCAGTGAGAGTACAGAAGCGGAAAAGAGGGAATGGCAAGTCCAACTCTCAGAAGAAGGCTAAAGTGGCTGCTGTAGTAGCAGAGGATCCACTTGTTGTACTCCCGGAGGTTACAGAAGATTTTGTTTTGCAGCCTGAGCAAGACTCGGACAATGAAATCCTCTGGTAGAAAAATGTCTGTTTGGGTCTATGTTTACTAGTTTTCTTTCATATGGGTTTTTTCGGTTTCTATGTTTCTCTTGAATAAATTATGATTGTGTTTCTGCCTATTTGATTGCTCCAAGCACTCTGAGGATGGGTTTAGGACCCGAAACAGCTGGCCTGTAAGTGCTCTACCAAAGTTACATTTGCTACAAGACACTTCCGAACCGCTATCAAAAACTACCACACATCATAACTGCTATATTATCGCTTGGGAATAGAACCAAAGGATCTTTGATCTTAGTAGTGCCCGAAGCTATTAGCTATGTTGAAAAGACAAAGAGAAATAAGTTCAGAACCCGCTGTTAAGCAAAGAAGGTTGGAACAGAGGCTTCCCTCCTTACCAGTACATGGAAAAAGACCTATACTGAAGGCAGGACTGTCATGGACGGTCAAAGGAAAGGATAAAGGCGCCCAAGGGTCTTTCCTGTTTGACACCGGTTGTACAGGAGCTATCCTCAATCAGAGTTTTGTCAGGAAACATGGAATTCCCTTAGTGCGGCGGGATCAACCTCTGACAATGTTTGATGCTCAAGGAGATGTCATGATGGGAGGAGGTGAGTATTACACTCACCCGGTCTGCATGACTATGGGAGATCATAAGGAGATACTCCGATGGGAGGTGGCTACACTGGAAGAAGGAATGACCGGTTACCTACCAATTAGTTGGGCTAGGAAGCATAACCCGGACATCAATTGGGAACTCAACACCATGAGCTGGAGGAGTGACTACTGCAAGCAGAATTGTCTCCCAGCGGCCACCAAGATTGAACTGATCTCTCCATACCAGATGTTGGAAGAAGAAGAGACAGTCTATCAATTGGTTGGTTCAGTATGGCATGATGAGGACGGAGGTGATATTGCTGAGAAGATACACCACCTATACCGGGATTGGGCTGATGTGTTCAGTCAAGAGAAGATTGAGGAAATGCCGCCACATTCCCATAATGATTTAAAGATCAAACTCTTGCCTGGGACCGCTCCCCCATTTGGCCCGCTGTACCCATGTTCCGCTCCAGAATTGAAGGCCCTCCGAGAGTACCTGGACAAAGAATTGTCTTCAGGAAAGATCTCTAGATCTAACAGCCCTGCTGCGGCGCCCATACTGTTCATTCCTAAGAAGGATGGGACATTGCGGATTTGTGTGGACTACAGAGGATTGAACAAGGTCACTGTCAAGGACAAGTACCCGCTGCCTATCATGAGTGAGCTCAGAGACAGGTTGTTCAAGGCCAAGATCTTCACAAAGATAGACCTGAAGAACGGCTTCAATTTGATCAGGATAGCAGAAGGTGATGAGTGGAAGACCGCTTTCAGAACCCGCTATGGACTGTATCAGTATAATGTGATGCCGTTTGGTCTATGCAATGCTCCCTCCGCTTTTCAGGCAATGATTAATGATGTGCTAAAGGAACTACTGGATGAAGGAGTGGTTGTCTATATTGACGACATCCTCATCTACTCGGAGACTGAGAAAGAGCATGAGCTATTGGTCAAGAGGGTACTACAGAAGCTTAGGGAAGCTAAGCTCTGTGCCTCGATCAGTAAGACATCCTTCCATGTCCGAGTAGTAGAATACCTAGGCTATCACATCTCGGAAGAAGGAGTATCTATGTCAGAAGACAAGGTGGAGGCAGTTAAGGAATGGCCGGTCCCTGAGAATATCAAGGCAGTACAGGCATTCCTCGGATTTGCAAACTTCTATCGCCGCTTCATTGAAGGCTTTAGTAAGGTTTGCAAACCATTAACTGACCTCTTGCAAAAAGACAAGAAATGGTATTGGACGGCAGCACATGAGCAGGCCTTTGAAGAACTCAAGAGGCTGTTCACAAGCGCTCCAATCCTTCTTCATTTTGACCCTAGTAGGAGAACTGTGGTCGAAACAGATGCCAGTGATTTTGCCAAGGGAGCGGTGCTCTCTCAGTATGGGGATGATGGGAAGCTACATCCGGTGGCATTCTATTCTAAGAAGTTCTCCCCTGCTGAGATCAACTATGACATTCATGATAAGGAAATGGGAGCTATTGTAGCCTCTTTCCGGGAATGGGAACACATGCTCAAATCTTGTGAGCAAGAGATCACGGTTTTTACAGACCACAAGAACTTGGAGTACTTTAATTCTACCAAGGTTCTCACTAGGCGGCAAGCTAGATGGTCTGAAGACCTCGCAGGCTACAATTTTAAAGTTGTCTACAGACCGGGAGAAAAGAATGGCAAGACTGATGTGCTATCTAGGCGCTGGGATCACCGCCTTGGAGAGGGAGGTGAAACTCTGCAGCCGGAGCCACAGATCTTTTTTAGGCCAGGTCAATTGGTTTTGGATCCTGCAAAGCTAGCGGCTGTCAGGGTGAATCAATTGCGGAATACATTCTTAGAGCGCCTATACGCGGCTGCTAAAGAGGATAGTTTCTGGCAGGAACTGCACCACTCCCTGGTTGAAAGGAAACCAAGTCTGGACCAGAACTTGTCGGTCAAGAACGGTCTCATCTTCTACAAAAATAGATGGTATATACCCAAGGACAAGAAGCTTCAGATGGAAATACTGTCCGATACCCATGACTCTAAGGTGGCTGGTCATTTTGGCCAATTTAAGACACTAGAGCGGGTGAAAAACAACTTCTTTTGGCCCAACATGGATAAGGATGTTGAGGAATATGTCCGGAGCTGTGACAGCTGCCAGAGGAATAAAACCTCAAGACACAAGAAGTTTGGTATGCTCCAACCGTTGGAAATACCCTATCGGCCATGGACTTCCATCTCTATGGACTTCATTGTGGGATTACCGGAATCTAGCGGGTTTACAAAGATCTGGGTAATAGTGGACCGTTTTTCGAAGATGGCACACTACATCCCTCTTCCTACCCTCAATAAAACGGAAGATTTGGCTAAGTTGTTCTTGAAGGAAGTTTGGAGACTCCATGGGTTACCTGATGACATAGTCTCGGACAGAGATAGCAGGTTCATCTCTCACTTTTGGCAATCTCTCATGAGCCTCCTCAATGTGAAGCTGAAGATGTCCACATCTTTCCACCCTCAAACGGACGGTCAAACAGAAAGAGTTAATCAGACCCTGGAACATTACTTGCGGAGTTATTGTTCATATCAACAGGATGACTGGGCAGAACTCTTGCCTTTGGCAGAGTATGCATATAACTCGGCGGTCTCTGAGTCTACCAAAGTATCGGCTTTTTATGCCAACTATGGATATGAACCCAGGACCAACTGGCCGGCCCCAAGGGAAGGAGTAGAATGGAACAATCCAGCGAGCGAGGTCATGATATCTCAATGGGAATCTATCTGGCAGGCTATGAACGCCAGCTTGGGTAAAGCTAGATTGAGGATGGCCCGGTGGTATGATGCACATGCCCTGGCACCGCCTGAAATCAAGCCCGGAGATGAAGTTATGTTGGACCGGCGCAATGTGCAAACAAAGCGGCCTTTGGGAAAATTGGATCAGAAGAAAATGGGACCGTTCAAGGTCTTAGAAGCTATTGGTACCCGTGCCTACAAGCTCTCTCTTCCCCCCCAGATGGGAATCCACCCGGTCTTTCATGTCTCTCTTCTGGAACCTTACCGAGCACCAGTAGATCCTGAGAGAAGAGTTTCTGTACCAGAGCCCGAAGAGATTGAAGGAGAACAGAACTGGGTTGTCCGAGAGGTAGTTGATAGCCGGGTCAATAAGAAAAGGAGACGAGTGGAATACCTAGTGCTGTGGGAAGGTTATGAAAACGAGGATGCTACATGGGAACCTTGGGAGCATCTCAAGAAGAGTGCTGAAGAAGCCCTTCGGGATTTCCATATGAGGTATCCTAAGAAACCCAAGGACAAACGGATTGTTGGGGTGTAGTTTGTTTTCCTTTAGGTTTTTGTTCCTTGCATATCACGGAGTTTCTTGTCATATAGATTGGATGGTAATAGAATGGTTATAGATCTCGGAGACCAAGATCCAGGAAGAGGGGAGTGGTGTAACGGAGCCATTTCAACTGTCTGGTGTATGAGTACACACAGGGCCCGATTACATGCTGAGAGTTATTGTTAGAAGCCAGTTGCACGGTGATATGCAAGTACCGGCAGTGTGGTTAGCTACCAGCTGTTAGAGTAACTACATTCCGGGCGCTAGGAAGAGGATCTATTCATGGGAGCAATGACTGACGAGTCTATGCCTCGCCAGTGACTAGAAGACCGGCCAGAGTGAAGCTCTGATTGCCCGGTGATCCTCTGTATCCTCCGAGCATTGTAAGTCCGCCGAAGGGCAGAGACTATGCTAGGGAAGTCTACAATAAGCGAAAGCTCTACAGCAATGATTAAGCTTACACTGAGCGGCAGCTCAATTATGCAGGTCCTCGGTTGTGTGGCAACCAAGGCTGCAGGTGTTACAAAGGCTTTGACTAAGGGTGGTTGCCTTGGGTAATCGGAAACACCTGCTGACGCTTAGAGAAAAGCGGGGTAGCGGTGGTATTGTTTCCGGTACTGAGGGAAGGCCCACCGGAACTTAGTAAAGGAATTAGGAGCGGAGAACAGAGGCCTTCGGAGTATAAGTACTCAGGTTCATTCTCGCCCTTCAGTCCTGTTCTCTCCGGTCTTCATCAAAAAGAAAAACCAAAATTCTTATCGGTAGCAGAGCCCTTAAAGATTATTGAGTTCTAGCGATAGTATCTTTGAATAATCTGCAACCTGATTGTCTATCTTGCACGGCCGTCTCTATTCTATACAAATCTATTTCTCTTAGAAAGGACCCCCGTTACATCTTCAACCTTCGATTCCTCCAGCTCAATCTTCAAAGCAACGATAACCTCGTCGCGACCTCGGATGATTTCGGTAGAATCTTCCTGGTTATCGCACAAGGTTTGCCAAAAGTCGGCAGCCCTTTCATTGGCTGCTTCTAGTTCTGTTGTGAGGCCGGCAATGACCTCTTCCTGAGCCGTGTCGATAACGGGTTCTAGTGGCACGGGGGTGTCAAGAGACTTGGTGAGAGCCTCCAAACACTCAGCAATAAGACTATGAGCCTCCGTAAGTTCTTCGCCGAAGTCTATATCGGCTGGGAGGGGACCATAGGTGGTCAGAAATTCTGAAAGACGCTGCAACAGCGTATCCTGAGTAATGTCGGACATAGTCGCGACCAGAGCTAAGCAAGGTAGTGTTGTATCGGTTGGCTGTAGAGGATGTAACCTAAGTGTAACGGGGACTATGGACGGAGGAACTATGAAGCCAAGGAATACAACCGAGGCGAAGACGTGGACGTAGGAGGTTCGTGGACTATGGACTATAGACTATGGGGCCGAAGGGTACACCTAAGGCAAGAACGGGGACTGTGGACTATGGACTATAGATGGTTGTACCTGGTCTAGTATACCGGGTAAACCCTATGACGTAGCGCGAACCAAATAGTATTCGTAACTGTAAAGTACAGAGGTTACATAAAGAGAAAAGAGAAAGAAAGAGAAACAAGAAATCACAAGACAACGCCCCCCTTATATATCCATACCCTATCCCAATGCTGACTCATACCCTCGCGTAACAGAAACAGAAAGAACATAATAGAAACCCGCTTCGCTAAACCCGACCATACTGAATAATCCTTCTCCCTTGTACCCAGACAACTCAAATAACCAACCCGTCTAGCTGCCATTACAGCTTTTCTCTAAGCGTGAGCAGGTGTTTCCGATACCCAAGGCAACCACCTTTTAGTCAAAGCCTTAGTAACACCTTGTAACGGGGGTCCTTTCTAAGAGAAATAGAATCGGATAGAATAGAGACGGCCGTGCAAGATAGACAATCAGGTTGCAGATTATTCAAAGATACTATCGCTAGAACTCAATAATCCTTAAGGGCTCTGCTACCGATAAGAACTTGGTTTTTTCTTTCTGACTGAAGACTGGAGAGAACAGGACTGAAGGGCGAGAATGAACCTGAGTACTTATACTCCGAAGGCCTCTGTTCTCTGCTCCTAACTCCTTTACTAAGTTCCGGTGGGCCTTCCCTCAGTACCGGAAAACAATACTACCGCTACCCCGCTTTTCTCTAAGCGTCAGCAGGTGTTTTCCGATACCCAAGGCAACCACCCTTAGTCAAAGCCTTTGTAACACCTGCAGCCTTGGTTGCCACACAACCGAGGACCTGCATGAATGAGCTGCCGCTCAGGTGTAAGCTTAATCATTGCTGTAGAGCTTTTCGCTTATTGTAGACTTCCCTAGCATAGTATCACGGGGACTGTAGGCAATAGACTGTGGTGCCAAGGAATACAACCTAGGTAGTGACGTAGACGTGAACGTAGATGTAAAGGTATGCTTTGACTATGGACTATGGGGTGGCTCTGCCTGGTATGATAAACCGGTTGGAGCCCTATGACGTAGTGCGGACAGAGAATAGTATTCGTGGAATAAATACAGAGGTTGCGTAAGGAAGAAAGAGAAGAAGAAAAACAGACAAAAGCACGAGACAACGCCCCCTTATATATCCATCCATAATCCAACAATGACTAATACCTTCGCGTAACAGAAACCCAAAGAACATAACAGAAATCCCCATTACAAATCCTAATTCCACTGCACGATACCTCCTTCCCTCATCCCAGTTCATCACCTAGCCGAAATACATAGCTGCCATTACAGACCACGCCCCCCTCTAAGGCCTACCTCCTGGTAGGCTTAGGCTTCTCTGGATAACGCTTATGGAATCGTCTAATAATTTCAGGTGAATGTTCAAGGTCCGATAGCGGTTGCCAGGAGGCTTCGTCATATCCCATATATCGTACCAAATATTCAAATCTTCCTCTTCGTTTCCTCGAATCCAAAATATCTTCGACTTCCCATTCTTCCTCCCCTTCGATTTCAACCGGAGGTGGTGGTAATCGTTGTTGTCCTGGTAAAGGATCATTCGCTTCAGGTGACAATAACGAAACATGAAATACTGGATGAATTTTCATCGACCGGGGAAGTTCCAACTCGTAAGCATAGGGATTAACGATTCGTTTAACGCTATAAGGTCCAATACGTTTCCAATCGAATTTCTTAGAGGGTCGCTTTGTTAGAATATGACGGGTCGAGAGAAAAACCTTATCTCCTAAATAATATCGAGGAGCTGGAGTTCGATTCCTATTGGCTGATTCTTCTTGTATCCTTTGCGCCCGGAACATTTCTTCTCTTAGGAAGTCCACCACATCCTTCATTTCCCTTGCAATACGGTTCGCTTGATCCTCCGCCGTCGTTCGACCATGTTCCAAAGGCCCAAATGTTATCCTAGGATTCCTTCCCGAATTAGCATAAAAGGGGGAAACTTTTGTTGTTTCGGAAACGTGGTTGTTGGTTGCAAATTCAGCCATCGGTAGCCATCGGACCCAGTCATCTTGTTGATAGGAAACATAGCTTCGGAGGTATTGTTCCATTATGGCATTAATTCTTTCTGTCTGTCCATCTGTTTGGGGGTGGAATGCAGTAGAGAACTTTGGCGAGATTTCCAATCGATCACAAAGGGACCTCCAGAATTCCGCGACGAACTGTGTTCCTCGATCGGATACCATAGTGTCGGGTAATCCATGTAGCTTCCAGACGTTATCAATATATAGCCTTGCTACTTCCTGTGAGTCCGCCTCCTTTGTCGTTGGTATCAGATGCCGCATTTTGGTTAGTCTATCCACCACGACCAAAATCGCATTATACCCATCACTCTCAGGAAGATCAGTTACAAAGTCCATCGAGACATCTGTCCAGGGTCCATCGGGAATTGGCATGGGGCGAAGTACTCCATAAGGTGCATTGTGTGATGCCTTGCTACGGGTGCACACATTGCAATTCCTAATATACTGATCGACAAACTTCCGCATCTGTGGCCAGTAATATTCTCGACTTAGGAGCTCCAGAGTCTTCGCTCTACCCGGATGTCCTGCAGATGGTTTGTCATGATATTCTTTTAAAAGCCTTAGTCGAAGGTCATCATCGTCTGGTACATATAGCATGCCTCGATAAAGCAGCCGACCGTTGTTATCTTCCATACATTCGGCAAGTGAGATTTTGTTTGAGTGGCGTATGCCATTCCGAAGCATATTGAGAACCTTGTTTGGGAAACTATCCACTTGGTAAGCTTTTGAAAATAACTCCTCTACAGTGGACGCTCCTTCAGCGGATTCATTTGACAAAGAACCCGCGAACAAACTTAGCTTGGTATCCAAATTTTTTCGCTTCAGAATCACTTGACTCTGATGCGTTAACCGTTCATCCCCCTCTTTAGGTAGGTCACCTGACCTCCTAGTCAATGCATCTGGTTTTGTTCCTTGTTTTCCTGGCCGAAATTGTATAACGAAATCGAAGCGTGAAAGAAATTCGGACCAACGGGCTTGTCGACGATTTAACAATTTTGTTGTCATAAAATACTCAAGATTCCGATGGTCGCTAAGAACTTCAATTGGAAATTGAGCTCCCTCCAGATGATGTCGCCATTCTTCAAAACATCGTATAATTGCTAAAAGCTCTTTGTCATAGATTTCGTAGTTGCATTCTGCGGGAGAGTGTTTCTTGGAAAAGAAAGCAACTGGATGTAGAATTCCTTCGTTGTCACGTTGAGATAGGATTCCTGCTGAAACATAGTCGGATGCATCAGTTTCTATCACAATTTTTCGATCTGGATTAAAATGAGCTAGTATCGGTGCCGTTGTAAACATCTTTTTCAAAGTCTGAAATGCTTCCTCCCTTTCATCCGTCCATTCAAATTTAACGTTTTTCTTTGTCAAGGCTGTAAGCGGGGCAACAATTTTCGAATATCCCAAAATAAACCGTCGGTAGAAATTTGCAAATCCTAGGAATACTTGAACATCACGAAGGTTTGTCGGTGTAGTCCATTCCAAAACATCGATAACTTTCTTTGGATCCATTCTATTCCCATTCGGAGTAAGGATTAAACCAAGATATTTTGTTTCCTGAACCATAAATTCACATTTTTCAGGTTTAAGGTGAACATGATTTTCATCAAGTACCTTTAGAACCTTTTGAATATGTTCTTTATGTTCTGATAGGGTCTCGGAATAGATAAGGATATCGTCTAAGTATGCTGTTACGAATTGATCGAGGTAGGGACGTAGAATATCATTGATCCAATGCTGAAATGTAGCAGGGGCATTAGCTAATCCAAACGGCATTACTGTATATTCGAAATGTCCATATCGAGTCCGGAATGCTGTTTTCCATTCATCTCCCTCCGCTATCCTGATTTGATTATATCCCCATCGTAAATCCAACTTAGTATAGTATCGTGCTCTTGATAACTTAGCCAGGGTTTCTTTCAACAATGGTAATGGATATCGATTTTTGATTGTAATCGCATTTAGACCTCGATAGTCAACACAAAGTCGAAGGGTTCCATCGCTTTTCTTCACAAACAGTATGGGTGCTCCCGCTGGTGATTCACTGGCTCGAATAAATCCTTTGGGTAAATTTTCATCAAGATATTCTCGTAGTGCTTTTAACTCAATTTGAGATAATCCATATATAGGTCCATATGGTGGTCGTTTGCCTTCCTCTAATACTATCTCGATGTCATGGGATGGTCGATGTGGTGGGAGAATTGAAGCATCATATTCTTTGAACATATGAAGACGATGGTGAAATTCTTTCGGTACTAATTGTTCGATATCGATAGTGGATTTCTCGGTTGCTGAAACGATGACTGTATGGTGTTCCGGTAAGGGGATCGAGATACCATGAACAATAACTGCAGTTCCACTGAGTGAACAGTGTTGACAACAGCTTCGAGAGTCAAAAACAAGTAGATTTTCTTTTGGTCGAATCGTAACATCATGTCGTCGCATCCAAGGTGTCCCCATCACAATCGGATAGTGTCCTAACTTCGTTACAAAACATGGCGCCGTCTCCCGATGACCATGAATGTCTAGCGAGACATCGACAATATGGGTAATTTTTCCTGACTTAATAGGCCTTCCGTCTATAACGTCTACATGGCGAGGTATTTTAAGGGGGGTCATTGTAAGATTGTTGTGGCGTGCAAAGGATTCATCAATGAAAGCATATCCTGATGCTCCGGTATCAATAAGGGCGTAGGTAGGTATAAACGAATTTTTATTCTGTGAAATCGAACAAGTTACTACAAGTTGATTTCCATC